TGTACAATCCGGCAGCTCAACGGTTAAATCCACTTAGAAGAGCTAGCGTTTGTCGTTTGATGTATATTTGCAGTGCTTTCCTCAGATGGCAGAGACATTAGGCCAAAGACCGAGTGAGCTTAAATACAGCTTCAACACCTGCAGTACTGTTTATTGGTAACATCAAATATTTGTTGACGTTACTTTTCCTTGACCTGATTTGCATCTGCGGCTGGCCTTGTGCATTTTTGTGACCCCAAGTGTGCTGTATATCATATGGAACAACAAAGTCCAAGCACAACCGGCCCTAACCTTATACAACTATATATTAGTGCACAGGGGGGAGGAGTAGGGTTTTCAAAAATGTTCTCAAATGTAAGTAATAAAAATACAAGATATATATTTTCACCATCAAAACAGTGATCTTCCCTGAACAAACAACAAAGCTGACAGTCACACACAGTATTTGCTCAATGCAAAGCCCTCTGTGTGACTTACAGCGCTAGACTGTACCCTTCAACAGGAAGCCGGTGTAATTCAGTAGGAATTCAGGTTAAACACCTCATGCAGGAGCACAGGGGCGCCACCTGGGAACTGAACCAGTGACAATTCGCACCCAAGGTCAGACCTTTAGCAACTTAAGCAATAACCTACAATTATCTGCGACATGCCAGAACAAAACATCTATATGTAGACGGGGCTTGTTTATAGTGGCGTGAGTTAACCGTATAACTAAATAAGTAATATCATCCATGAATAGTATAGTAGCAATACTGAAGGGTGTGTGTGTGTCTATATAAATATATAAAATGTGTGTGCGTATGTGTGAGTGCGCGCATGCGCGCGTATATACATCCATCCGTCTTTTAACTGGGTCATGGGCCATATATAAATATATATATATATATGAATATATATAAAACCTTTTTAAAAAATCTCTCACTATGCTGAATGCTGTGAGTTCAGTTTTGGCAGTTTCTGCAGTAACCTGGCAAATCTTTCTGCAATCCACTGCAAGGTCTCGAGCAGTCAGCTGATTGGGGAACCTGACTAAACTCTATGTAGAGCGTATAAATTTGCATCGCTGAGAAAATGACAGGCCGCGTGGATGTCAAATCCATAGCACCAGAAATCATCACCCAAGTCATAGCTGTTATATATATTTTTAATGCAGTCTTGACTGGAGCTGTGTAGCCCACTCCATTATTGAACACCATCCTGCTAGCGGTTGCGATCGAAAGATCACAATTCTGAAGTGGGAGATAAAAGACGGTGATGTCACATAACATCACAATTCAACTTTCAAGAGAATACGGTGGCTTAAAAAATAGACTGCCACCTGGTGGAGAAGTATTTTCCACATTCGCAAGAAGTCTGTGCGTTATGAGAACTTCTGGTGAACTGAATTACATGGTCCCTCCTATCACGCGCAGAAAACGTGGTGTAACCATACTATATAGCTGTATATATAGTTAAATGTTTGGATTAGTTTTCAGAACGATTTAAAAATTATAAAGGTACTATTTGTGTTCATTTTCTGCTGATCATTTTAAATCATGTAAACCAAAACCAGACAATCGTCTAAGAACAGTCCAAGAAAAAAAAGTACTGGCATCTCACCCGCGATTCTCTATTGTACAGTTAGTTTAATATGTTACAGAAGAAACTCCTTATGGGATATCCATGCGTGCTCCCAAAGGAAGAAAACGCATAAATTAAGAAATAGAAACTGTAGCACTTTGAGTTTCAGTTTCAGACTTACATTAAAAATCTTTCGCAACAACTGACTGATATTGTTAACAAGTGTTTGATTTGTGTTACAATGCAATATGATCAGGCTATATTTACATATTTATGGGAATCGGCGAGACTGAGCAATTTGGACCACGCCGTAATGTCGATGCTATTCACCAAGCAGTCCTGCTCGCAGCATTACTCACAACGTGAACATTTTAGCATTCCGCGCCACGGCGGCGTACAGTGGTGCCGTCTCTTCGCAATGCGTCAATTTGCCAACTCGTTAATCGACACGTCGATTCTTCTCCTACCCTTTAAGGTTGCCAAATTAGTGTCAGCTTTCAGTACGTGGTGAACGAAACAATACTTAAATACATGTTACAAATCAGCGTTCTCTCCGTGCGGGCCAAGCCTTGATTTAATGATAAAAAAGAGGAATGTATAAAAGTATTTCTCATTGCGTTTTTAATACAGAACAGCCCAACATAAACGTTTATTTTGACTTTTGGTCCGAGGTTGCACATAATCAACGAATTAGGCTTCGCAGACAAACGGATTAACACCTGCTTAATTCAAATACCACGCCTGTGGCGTACCTGCGCCGACAAACTTAGGAGCGAGCAGTCCCTTCCCTCCCTCCCTCGTCCACCCCCCGCTCCCTTAACAGCCCTCCCCCGGCTGAGTTTGTATCGCTCGTCGCAGTACGAGGATTCGTGTGCCCAGAATGACGTCGCCAGGCAAGTCTGCCGGACTCCTAGGCTGTTTTTAATCAGTCCCCGGCTCGGGGAGCTAGGAAATCAGAAATCCGCGGCAATGTTGACCTAAAGCAAAAACATCCATCTTAATTGTCGATTTAAATCGGGCTGTCGAAAGAGCGCTTTTGCTGTTGAGGATCACGCTGAGATACGCAGCGGCGTACTTCTGCGCTTTAAAGCTGTCAGACCTGAAACTAGTGGATGTATGGGGAGAGTAAATAGCAATCAGCACACTGGGAATATTGTTAGGAAGAAATACTTATGAGTTTATTATCCATTTGTGTTTGGATTATTGCTGCCCGGCAACACGGCCACCTGACTAAATTGGATGTCGTAATTAAGGTAAGGACGGAAAACGCTGTCTTTACGTTAAAAATACTTGTGGAAATTCTTGATGAGTTCTTGATTGTTTTTATTTTTTTGAAAAGTGTTTTCCTATTATGAATAATATTAACTTTGAACCGTCCGGAAACGTTGCAAACTATATAGGCTTAAATATTAATTTTCTGATAATAAATAGGCAGTATACCGACCAATAATAAAACTAGGTATGGCAATATATTTTAATGGCAGCTACAAACCCGTTAATAATACATAGTAATAACATGATACAACGGTTTGTTGACAGTTGCGAGAAAGATATTAACAATCCTGTAAGCTTCACTGTGAATGACCTGTCTCTGCATTTCAGTGTTTCTCTTTGTGAATGTAGCCTAGTGTTTTTTTATTACAGTATTTTCCCCCCTGCTGGACATTATTAAATCATAGCAATTTCACTTCGTCATTAAGAGAAGTAAGCTAGCAGTTCCATAGAGCTTAACTGTCAACATAAGATGTAGCATCAATGCCTTTTCTCTCAGCAAATAATTTCCCCGTGAACCGTAAAAAACAGTTTTTTCGTGCATGTTTATAATATTATCCCGTTGTAATTTATACGTTGCCATTATGTGGTTAGTCTGGTAGTGTTGCGTAGTCCGTGCTTTTGGTTTTTCAAGTTCTGTATTAACTAATAAATGCGAATCAAATATTATTTAATGTGCTTGATTCTGCAAATACGAGTTGAAGTTCTGCAGACCGGCTGCAAATATCATACACGTCGATGTATTGCAGCGTTGTTTGGGCTTTAGTTTGATACATATGTTGTAGTACCAGAAAGACACGAAACAAACATTTAAACTAAAGTTTATATAACTCTTACTTAAGAAGAATGATTTTCGTCATCTTTAATTTAACTTTTAATACTTTCACCTTACACTTTAATTAGCATCGCCAGTTTTTATAAAGTTATAACTTTGTCTCTCTGCGATATTGCTTAAGGTTTTTTAGAACTGTCTCGATTATGTCGCAGCAATGTTGTGCCTGTGATAAAAATGGATTGACAGATTAATTGAGCCAATCCGTATGCGGTATGATGAAGCATTGTCTTGCTCGTCCAATAGTCGCCAACGAAAGGCGGACCGGCAGGATAGTGTGGCCGAAACCCACGTGATACCTTTAAAGCTGTACTGTCATTTTGTCTCGGGTTTATGTAATGACAACAAACGCAAGTGAACTCATGTTGCTTAAGCGTGTATTCCCCAAAGGCGATATTGAAATCGACGTAACGAAATGATAGCCCCCACGAGCTTCCATTTCCGGCATCAAGAGTAGACGTTTATTGCAGTCTTATCTGAAATATTGTGATGTCGCAGATTACGCCGCCTTGAAACGCAGCCTTTCGACAGCCACAATTTCCCCGTAACGTCTGTAATTCACTGAACGAGAGGGAAAATGTTAGTAAGAAGACTGATAACAACGACTCATCCAAAAGCGAACAGATTTCAGGAAAAGTCAGACAACCGGGGTCGGTGATCAGCCCCGTTTACGTGCGAGCTCTTTTGCGTTGATCGCTCCACGCCGTCCCGCCCATCAGATACTTTAAATATGTAAGCGCACAAGCAAGGAGACACTGACGAAAAGTTTTACTATATTAAGTCCGTCGTAAAAATCTCAAACGATACCGTTTTAATACAGGTTTTGTTTGCCTGTGTTTTGATGGAACGTGTCACACAAATTTTAGTGTAGCTGTATAATTTTTTAATATCATGTATTCCCGGTACAACTCCTGGGGGCAAATCATGTGGTTTCTAAGCGTATTTATCATACAAATAAATAAATAAATAAACTGAAACGTAGTTTACATAGGTAAAGACGGAATATAATTTTCGAACCAACGTGAAGGCATTTTGATAAAAGCAGGCAAGGATGTTTTTCAAGTTTTTTAAATATCATATTAAATTTAATAATTATCGCTAAATAAACACAGACTTGTAATGCTTAGACAACTTTATAATTAAGTCGGAATGTGTTAAGCAAGGTATATTTAACTCATCTTTCACTAACTGGGAAGTAAAGGCCTGCATATTTTTATAGTCTTATTTTTATTGCAGAAACATCAGTGTTTTATAAATGTGAAGAATTCAGAATGTATTATCAAAATTTAGTTTTTCTTTGTTTGTTCCTTCTGTCAGGTATGTTAGTGATCAAGTTATGGAGACCAAAAGATATCACAGCTTGTTTGAGGGACCGGACGCCCAGTGTAGGTGGGTCCAAGGGCCTAATGAGGCAGACTACTGTGATGCAGCAAAGCGAGGATTTCAGGCCAGGACTGGTGCTCTGATGGACCCCGCAAATGCCAGCCGCCCTTCTGTCCCAGAACTTGGTTTTAAAGAGGGCGGTAGGGACAAGATGGACCATTCTGTGCTCTGCCCCAGCCAGAATCAGCAGTTTGTCTTTCCGAGCTTCAGCGGCTCTGCTGCAGGCACAAAACTGGAAATGGACTCGAAGGAGCTCTCCAAAACGGTGGCGGAGTCCATGGGATTGTACATGAATGCAGCGAGGGAAGTTGACTATGGTATAGCCCAGCAGCCATCCCAGACAGGCCACTGCAGCCCCAGTAGCCTCTGTCCGGCTGGCGGGCAACACCACGAAAACAACCTGGACCTGTCAACGAAGAGTCCAAAGCTGAAATCCCCACCTTCATCTTATCATGGTGCGCCCCATCCGGCAAATGTCCTGTCAGTGGATTGTGCTTCTGGGGCCTTACCGGGCTCTGGTGCCCTGGCCGGAACGCTCAGCGGGAGTCCAGCAAACTCCAACAACTCGGCAGCCAGTCCGGCCAGTAACGCCATGGTGTCGTCAACCACCAGCCCCACTTACTTTGGCAGCACCTGCCCCACTCTAAACAGCCCAATCAGCCAGTCAGGAGCCACCCCAGGCCTTGCCGCCATTCATCCCCGAAACCCCACTGCCTGTAGCCCAGCTAACACAGCTAGCATGGGGTCCCCCCACTCAAGCCCACCCAACATTATGCGATCTCCGATCTCCAGTCCTCAAAGCATGAGCAGTGTGAAGTCACCACTCTCATGCGGGGCTACCGTGAGGTCGTCTGTATCCAGCCCAGCCGGCAACAACACTGCCAGCGGTAACATGAGAGCATCGCTTTCCAGTCCTGGGAGCGTTGGCGCCATGGCTCTGTCGAGTCCTCGGAACTTGCCGGGTTTTCCCGTCTCCAGCCCTGCTGGTGGACTGGGGCTCGTGCAGAGTGACATCCATAGCCCAGTGGAGAGAGACCAAGACCTGAAAGGTTTTGAGTTCCCGAAGGTTGAGTGTGTCGAAGAAGAGCTATACAATGTTGGCCTGGACCAGATGGACATGGTGAAGTTCATAAAGAATGAGCCAGACACCAACTTCAGAAGCATGTGTCTGGGTAGCAGTAAGGGGAGCACGACCAACTCCACGTTCCCCATACAGGTTAAAACCGAGCCAAACAAAGAGATGACGTGTTTGAATCCTCATTACCACAACCAGGAGTCGTCTTTAAACCTTTATTCTACAACAGAGACCACTTACTTATCCTTGAGAGACAATATGGATGAATATAGTCTTTCTGGAATATTAGGACCTCCCATCTCTTCGCTGAATGGCAACTATGAGCCTGGTGTTTTTCCAAATAGTGTGTTGCCGAAAGGGATTAAGCAGGAGTGTAACGATGGCAGCTACTACCAAGACAGCAATACCATTCAGACGCCGGCTGTTGTTGGAGTTAATTCGGGTGGACATTCATTTCATTACCAGATCGGAGCACAAGGAACAATGTCTTTTTCACGGCATGACATCAGGGACCAGACAAACCCCTTGCTAAATTTAATTTCCCCCGTAACGGCGTTAATGGAGACCTGGAAGGCCCGACGTGGCCTGTCACAGAACTCTCTGTCCTCCAGAGGAGAAGGTTACCCTGGCCAGGGGTGCATCGCGGAAAACATGTCGAGGTAAGGCAGGGGAGAGATGGAAGGCTGTCTCTGTTGCGGCAGCGTGCAGGAATCTAAATGAGGAATGCAGTTCCTTGAATTAGCAGTGAAAAAATGGAATTAAGTACAGTATAAGGTCCTTGTAGCGAAAGTCTTCAAAAGTAAATGATCCAATATATTAAATGACTGAAGCTTTGGTATATTCAGTCATATTTAAATTCTGATGGAATGGTAGAGGAATGTGTAACCATTTTCCCCCCCAAGATTCACCACTTTTTCTAGACTTGCCAAAAGTTGCTTTAATTGACTCCACTATTGTGCTTACATGGAAATAGTGTTATCAGCATGAAGACAGATGGTGGCCTAATGAGGTAATGCAGATTAAGAGGCGACGTCACCTGTCTTTGTGAAATGGGTAGAAACGGCAAAACGATGTGAATGCTGGAGCGGTGGACAGCTCTTTTTGACTTTTATTATATTTGCCAAAGACGAGCATGTTATATGAAAGTCATTCGATCAGTTCCAGAAATTTAATTTTGCATAGTGCCGCAAGGTGATATAGTCAGAGGGGCCCTCTCACAATCAGGAAGTGATTGCTGGAATTAAATTTAGTTTTTCCACATATGAGGAAGGAGAAGTTAGTGGAGGGTGAAGCTCTGTGCAGAGCCCACATCAGAAGTGAGGGTAATTAAAGCACGAAAGAGTGACATGTGTGTCTTTTCATGGCTGTCCCATCCCTACTTGAAACGGCTGATGACATCGGGTGCAGTGAATTTTAGAACGGCTTCTTAGGTCTGTATTAATAAAAGGAGGCAAATTAACAGAATAAAAGCTTTTGTTTCGTGGACATCTTCCGTCGTTTCTGACAGATGAGTCACGGCCCCATTGGCTGACGGTTCTTTGTGTTCTCGATGACAGGGGGATGAAAAACCGCGTGAACACGTACTGTAGGTGTTTGTGTCAGTCTGCTGGCAGGCCTTGAATATGGAATTATCAGATTTTAAATTCCATTGGAAGCAAGTCGCCTGCAGGGCAGCTGAGCACGGGGTTTGTCGGAATCGGGAAACGGCAACTGTGTCTTTATTGTGTGAGGTTTGGACGGAATCGTCCACACCTGAACACTTTAGGCAAACAAAGCTCATTGTGGTCTACCAGGAAGGAACGTTGTGCTGCTGATCTGGAAACCATGTGTGTACAGAGCAGATTGATGATAATTATCATTTCCAAAAAAGAGCTTGCGGAGCCTGTAATGTAAATAATTCTTTGTGAGGTTTGCCTGTTAAAGAGCAAAAGCTTAGATCTAGTATTAATGACCCATTGCCTACATTTGTCTTCAGCCAGATCATGTGAAAAATAAAGCTGTGGGAACAAGCCATGCAGCCTATACAGAACACTAAGTCATAATGCTACTGTTTCTCTGGTGGCACACAGACAAACCCCTGGCGTAATGCAGAGCACGGGTAGCGTATAGCAAAGGAAACCACAGGACCCCTGCATGTTTACCATATCAACCTAACTTCCCTTACTTTATACTGGTCTTCACCTTGACATGCAGTATTTTCACTGACACTTTCCATGTGGAAAACAAGGTTTATTATCGCTTGTTAATATTACAGCTTTAAGCTATGAACCACTGACCTTCACATTGCTCTATGGCCCTAACCTAGTGTCCCTAAGGCATATTTACTGATTTAATCTGAACGGTCAAAAGCCCAGTAATATGGCTGTCTTGAAATAATGAATAATGAGTGTCGACATTCATGTACCCCAGTCTACGTGAGATAGAGTTTGTGTACATTGGTGAACACATGAAAGACCAGAGAAAATCATTGTTGTCTCTCCGTAACCGAAAAGCTATTGATAAGTTAAGTATTTATTTGAAAGGAATGTGATCCTGCTGGTTTTTTTGGAATGGCGTCATGTTGCTATTCCTGTATTGGCAAGTCGTCAGTCCAAACGGTTGTGGTTCAGTAAATGATTTATTCCCCCCCCAGTTACTGCAACTACAGTACATCTGCAATTGTACACGGCCCCATTGAAAAAGCCATTGTCAGTCTACATGTATGAGCTTAAACTGGGCGTATAAGTTTAAGCTGAGTACGGTAATCATGATTCAAGCTTGCTCCAGCTTAAAGGAGAAAAACATAGTTTTTTTTTTTTTTTTAGCAGTGCTGTCATGTCCAACAGAAACCAAATTCTCACTTTATGAAGGATCTGTATATAAACTCTGAGCTATTAGTTAAGTTCTCCCCAAGCGAGCTCGATGGGCCGAATGGCCTCCTCTCATTTGTATAGTTCTTATAATTTAATGTAATAATTTAATTACCTTTTTCCTTGTTATGAGGTCCTTGATGAAAAATCAAAAATTAAACTTGACTAAAAGTCAAGGAAGTGCATTCATCCATTAATTTTCCGATTACCTATTCTGTTCAGTCAAAGTGAGACTTCATTCTTATCCCAGGCACAAGGTGGAGGTACACCCAGGGTAGGATACCAGTACCCAAGGAAGTATTTGAGACAGATTTTCACATAAATGCCCTACCCAGCAGCATTACTCCAAGGCTTGAACCACCAAACTTCTGGCTCATGTCTTTAATGACTGCCCTACTTCCTCTTTAGTTCTTGTTTCTGTTCCATAGATGAGAGTATTTCCTTCTGCATCATGTTGGATGGTAGTTTTGCACTTGCAAGCACAATTCATATTTTGTTGGTAACATCGGAAGTATGTCTACTGGGTTGGACTGAAAGGTAAATGGAAAATTGAGCAAAATACCTTTTTGACACCTCAAAGCCCACCCACAGAAAGGATGCTGTTTCCGTCACAGCCAGCAAGTATTGTTCTTTCTGCTTGACTTTATGTCAAGACAGGTTGACAGTCGGAAGTGCTGTGTCAGTTCAGTGCCAGCCCTCATTGGTTGCCATTGTGCCCCCTTTACACCTCTTCAACCTCATTGGTTGACGGGTTGCCTTGACACCCTCCCCCTTTTCACTAGCTGCCAGCATCTACTTCGGCACAACGTGCTGCCCGCCCAGCCGGTCGTTCGCCGCCGGCAGAGCTATTGATTCACGCGCTGTTTGACTTTTAAATGGTCCGGTGGCGATTCTCCGAAAGCTCGATGCATTGTGTGAGAGCCAAGAAAGAAAAGTAAAAGAGCTTTTGGGAGTATGAGACCCAGTGTGGCTGCAGGAAGGGGGGGGGGGGAGAGACCAGTGCCGTATTGATGCGGGGGGCAGTGAATGGGCTGAAGCTTTAATTAAAAGTGTCTGTATGCTTTTTGATCCTGGGGCCCAGGAATGGGCTAATGTTTTTAATCAAGAGTGCTGGACTGAGTGTGGATCACACAAGGCGATCTGGCCGCTGTGCAAATGCTTCTTAAATTTGATTTCTATGCAAAGACGTAGACAGCTTCCCAACCTTCCCCCCCCCATGAAGGTGAAACAGGTGGCTAAGAGCATGCAGCCTAACACCCAACATGTTGGGGGATGGGGACTTGCCTCCCCCTGGTGCCGTTAATCATGCCCTACGCAGCATACGGCCTGCTTACGCTGGCAGGACATGAAGATGTGGCCAATTACATATTGATTGAACGTATCCTGTGGGGAAAAGGCGCTTGGCTCTTTGTGTTTCCACAGACCAGATAATTTAATTAGTGTCTACAGTTAATTTAAGTGGTGATAAATGGAGGGGGAGGCAAAAAAACACAGCCAATGGTAAATTCTGCGTTCGTTGTGTGAATTTTTGGTGAAACATGTCAAGTGAATGTGGCTAAACCTGTTTCGAACCAGTATCTTTTGCTGGGGGGGCACACCGTTTATCTTGTTTAGGCTTGTGTGATGTTGCAGTTCACTTGGCTACCAGTTTACTCTGCACCTACCCCTAGCGCTCCATTGTGGCTGACATACGTGACTCAGCAATTTGTATTAACACAGAAACTGTTGACTGTAAACGGCTCAGGCCGTGTGTGTACTTTTCACAGTAAGTCAGGCTTATTTTAGTTTGTTTAGTCTCAACCAGGAGTCCTTTTGTGGATTAGAACACAAACGATACCGGTGTCCTTGTTTTCGTAAAGGCTGGGCCGGCCTGTAAATGGAAAAAATCAGTAGCAGAGGTCCGTCCACCTCCATTGGCACAACAGGGCTATCCTTGTTTGACTTCCATTTCCACGGCTGTTAGAACGGACGCGAGCAGGGGGTGCTGAGGACGGCTATACGAAGGAGCCATGGTAGCACCTTAAAGCTGCGGTTTTAATGTTCGCTTGGCTCTGCTCAGGGGTTTGGTCCTTGCCCCTATTCATGGCCGCCTCCAAGGTTTACAGTAGGTGCGGGTGACCGTGGTGTTGTTAGGTGGGCCCTGGCAACGAAGGCGAAAAAGGCCGCGTCCGGCCGGCCCACTGGAGGAGAGAGGGGAATGATTCCATGTTCCTGACAGCCAGCTTGCTGGGAAGGTCCTGGCAGAGCCCGTGCAATGGCTCCAGGGGAGAGGCAGCTGAAGAAACAAAAAAGAAGAGAGCATCACCTCAAAAGGAAAGAACTCAGTGCTTTGGAGCGCGGCCAAGCGCTAATGTTCTAAACTGGGATGAAAGCGCATATTCCTCCAAGGACCCTGATAGGCACTTAATCGTGTGTCCTTATACTAAATTAATGGAAGACATTGATTTGATTAATTCAGACTCTGCTGGATACAAATATCCAATTTGCTCCAAATGTTGGTCCACGATGGCCTTCAAGGTATCGCTGGCTGACAACTCAGGGAGAATGACATGGTAAAGCCGTCAGTACTACACCTCCACCAACGATTAGTAGGAAGACTCTTGGAGTCATTGGTGTCCACCCTTGCTGGCAAAACTTTTGGCCTTCATCTTGGTTTCATATAGACTCAGGTGATTGCCTTCTCTGTGGGTTCCTATGTTAGGTCTGTCTGGATGTCCCTTTGGTCATGGTTACCATGACATACTGCTTCTAGATCCAAAGCTGTTTCCTATTTTTAATTTTTTTTTGGGGGGGGGGGGTTGCTTTCCAGT